CAAATGCATCCACCAACAAAATCCTAATCAAATGCATCCACCAATAAAACCCTAATCAAATGCATCCATCAACAAAACCCTAATTAAATACATCCACCAACAAAATCCAATTCAAATATATCTATCAATAAAATCCTATCCAAATGCCAAATACATATCTCAATAAATATCTATTTAAATATATCAAAATCAATTAAAAAATCGAAATTATACAATCATTAAGGCCACCGAATCCATCATCTCCACCAAAAGTCTTCTACACCATAAATATCATCCCCTACAAACCAAATACCCCCACAAACATCATCAACCACCCCCAAACCACCAAACAAACCACCACCAAACAAAAAAAACACCACCACACCACCACCAAACAAAACCACAAACAAAACCACCACCAAACAAAACCACCACCAAACAAAACCTCCACCAAACAAAACCACCACCAAACAAAACCACCACCAACACAACCAAAATCCAAATCACCAAGACCACCAAGACCACCAAAACCACCAAGACCACCAAGACCACCGCCACCACCACGACCACCAAAACCACCGAGACCACCAAAACCACCAAGATAACCACCAAGACCACGACCACGACCACCGAACACGACCACCGCCAAGACCACCACCAGGACCACCACCACGACCACCACCACGACCACCGCCAAGACCACCACCAGGACCACCACCAAGACCACCGCCACCACCACCACAACAACAGAAGAAAGAACAGCAACAACAGCAGCAGCAACAACCAAACAAACACAGACACACAAGAGCACCACATCACAACAGAAACAAGCAAGGCAAAACACAAACAAAAGCACAGCCGCCAACAAACCCAACCGCCATGGATGAGAATATTAGCCTGGCTACAGAGAGTGGTGGAAAGGCTACCCCGAAAAGAAAGAACAAGCCCACTCGACCTGGGACTTATACACCTTCACCGCTTTGACGAGTACAGACGGCCATGGTGGGCACTCTCAATCCTAGGCGTGGCTTGCAACACTTTCAGCGAGGGCGCTCAGGCCATGAAAATGCATCGACAAAGGCGCTGCCAGGAAAGAGGTCCATACAAGCCTCCACGGATCATGCGGCTTTTTACCCAGTGACCAACTGCGAGTTCCTTCCCGATTCATCCCGCCTAAGACACCCAGTGCGCGCGAAGCTCACGGGGCTACCATTGCCTTTGGTGCTGGGGCTCTAGCAGGATAAATCGTTAATACAGAATAGCCAACCGACCACTTGCAACCTTTGCCATATTCTCATCCATGAGCTAACGATGCAACGACCAAAAATCAATCATCAAATATAAATTCATATTATTTAGAATTTCAATTATTTTATATATCAATAAATTATATAATATATATATTATTATATATTTTAATATCATTAATTTCTAATAATCAATATAATATAAATAAGCTACATAATTAATTAATCGAATAATATATTAATTTTATCAATAAATAGATAAAAAACTAAATACAATCATCAAAGATTTATCAATTTATTTATATATTTCAATATAATATATTTTTAATAATCTATATAATTTTAGCTTCTTATCTCATAATCATATAATACCCAAAATTTTTAAATTCAATTATTTCATTGTAAATATTCAAATATTAAGTCCGATTATATATGCATTAGTTACCTCCAGACGATTAAAACACATTTCGCACCCTTTTCACTCGTGCGCTAAGTGTGTCAACGAGCAATAAGACCTTTCAATTCTTCAAACCCAGCGGCAAATAGAAATGAAAATGGGAAGAAAAGACCTATACGGAGATCGATTCAAAAATACATAAATAAATAAATAATTCAAAATCCAAGAATGCCTCAAAGTATATATTCCTAGACTCCTCATTCACAAACCAAACAAGGAAGGCAACCTACAAAGGTGAAAAAGCAAACCCCATATTAACTTTCCATTTTTACAAAACATGCCATCAGAATTAGGACAAAAACCCTAGACCGAACCAACCTCTTTGATCCCAAGTGTTTGAACAAAATATTGACCCGTTCTCCTTCCTTCATCCCAAGTCTTTGAACAAAATCTTTGACCCGTTCTCCTTCTCAAACTCTTTCGGACCCTTCATCCCAAGTGTTTGAACAAAATCTTTGACCCGTTCTCCTTCTCAAACTCTTTGACCCGTTCTCCTTCCCAAACTCATATGAGCCCTTCATCCCAAGTCTTCTAACTCTTTGTTTGACCCGTTCTTCTTCCCAGACTATTTGAACCCTCATCCCAAGTCTTTGAACAAAATCTTTGACCCGTTTTACTTCCCAAACTCTTTGAACCCTTCATCCAAAGTCTTTGAACAAAATCTTTGACCCGTTCTCCTACCAAAACTGATTGAAGCCTTCACCCCAAGTCTTTGAACAATAATCTTTGACTCGTTCTCCTTCCCAAACTCTTCGAACCCTTCATGCCAAGTCTTTGAACAAAGTCTTTGACCCGTTCTCCTTCCCAGACTCTTAAATTCTTCATCCCAAGTCTTTGAACAAAATCTTTGACCCGTTCTCCTACCAAAACTCTTTGAACCCTTCATCCCAAGTCATTGAAAGATTTTGTTTGACCCGTTCTATTTCCGAAACTCTTTGAACCCCTCATCCTAAGTCTTTGAACAAAATCTTTGACCCGTTCTCCTTCCCAAACTGTTCATCCCAAGCCTTTGAACAAAACCTTTGACCCGTTCTCCTTCCCAAACTCTTTGAACCCTTCATCCCAAGTCTTTGAATAAAATCTTTGACCCGTTCTCCTTCACAAACTCTTTGAACCATTCATCCCAAGTCTTTGAACAAAATCTTTGACCTGTTCTCCTTCCCAACTGGTTGAACCGTTCATCCTAACTCTTTGAACAAAATCTTTGACCCGTCCTCCTTCTCAAACTCTTTTGAACCCTTCATCCCAAGTCTTTGAACAAAACCTTTGACCCGTTCTCCTTCCCAAACTCTTTGAACCCTTCATCCCAAGTCTTTGAACAAAGTCTTTGACCCGTTCCCCTTTCCAGACTCTTTGAATTCTTCATCCCAAGTCTTTGAACAACATCTTTGACCCGTTCTCCTACCAAAACTCTTTGAACCCTTCACCCCAAGTTTTTGAACAAGAATCTTTGACCCGTTCTCCTTCCCAACTGGTTGAACTGTTCATCCCAAGTCCTTGAACAAAAAGCTTGACCCGTTCTCCTTCACAAACTCTTTGAATCCTTCATCCCCAGTCTGAGTCTTTGAACAAAATCTTTGACCCGTTCTACTTCCCAAACTCTTGAACCCTTCATCCCAAGTCTTTGAACAACATGATTGACTAACACTAACCTTGGTATGGAAGTGACGCTGTACAAGCCCCCATTGCAGGGTGGGTCTGTATTGAAAAATCAATTCCAAGGGGGGAGGAATTGAACTATCAATTATTACACCCGAAGGAGCTTACACTTGCTTCGCAAGACAAACTCAAGGTATCTCCCTAAGGGCTACCTTTCGTGAATAGTTCACGGGAGTTGCGCTTCGTTCTATGTAACAATAATTGATGGATTAAATATCTATATACAAAGGAACAAAAAATTCAATATAGGTTTGTTACTACATCAGATTCAAAGGTCTAAGAGCTCCTCGAGGCTGGATCCTTGGAAACAATGACCTTGTAGTCGGAGTCTCACGAATTCTGGCACAATTTCTGCAGGATTTTTGCGTCCTGTTGAAATCTGAGTCAGCAGGTGGTGAAGCCAAACCATCTTTAAAGCATAATTTGCATCTCTTTGCTCCAAGGCGGTTTCCACAGCCTCTCTCAGTTTGGCATCCACGTCTGGGACCTCTTTCACAAAACCGTTCCTGCTCAAAACTTTCTGGTCTCTCAATGCTTCCCACAAACGCTGGCTTTGTTGTTCATTCCACTGGTGGCTGGCAAAGTTGTAGGCGCTCCGTGGTTGCAAAAGACCCAGAAATTTCGCAACTTCTGCACATTCACTGAGTGAGTAATCACAGGAGCCATTGAAAAGCTTCAGCACAGCTCGATGCTCTGCACGTGGAAGCTTTGGATAGCCCACACGACAAACAGACATACTTTTGCCAGTATCACTCAAGTGGCACAGCTGGGCAAAGAACTCTTCTGCCTGCGTTGCCCGCTGAGGGGCATGTTTGCTCAGATACCTCATCTCTACCAACACATTGCTGGCTTCCCAGCCTGATAGCAAGATGATCGATGTCACTTGGTCATTGCCCGACAAAAGGAAAGTATCCACTGCACGCAACGCATGTGCTCTTTCCAGAGGGCTGCAATGGTCATCTGTAATTTGGACACTGCAAAGCCAATTGCTGGTGATGAACAAATGACTTGGCATGTCTCTGAAATCGAGCAGCTGTGGCAAATGCATCCCGCAGCGTTCCAGCTCATCTGCAGTCATTGCATGCAAACGGGGACATCCATCGCATTCATTGAGGCAATCAGATACAAAACCTTTTTGTAAAGCATGGCCCCATTCCCATTGCTTCTCAGCAAGCGGTGTGTGGGCTTGGACTGGAGGAGGACACACTTCAGCTTCGGTTTCTATTTCGATTTCCTTCTCTCGTTCTTTCTCCTGTTCCCTCTCTCGTTCCTGTTCCTCATCCATAGAAGTAACAAGAACGCCCTCAGAACACAGGAGTTTGTGATCATGCAAGTATGCCAACTGATTCCTGATTCTCTTGTGTGCTCGTTCTCTCCAGCGCTGTGTTTCTTGTGGTGTCAGATCTGCATTCTTCAAGATCTGTTCTGGGGCATCCAAAGCACGCCTAGGAATCTCTTCCTCACTGGGGCAAGCAGCCAGTGACTGGCAATACGAAGTCAACTGAAAATTCTCTGGCTCTCTGCAAAGCTTTGCCAAACGCCTGCATTCAGGCCCGAAGCCCCCCTGGACATGTTCCAAGAAGGGCACTCGTGTTGCAAAGGCTGAACCCTGCAATGCCCAGTGAACAATAGCAGACTTCAACTCCTCTGCTGTCCGAGCTGTGACAAAAGCAAGAACTAATTCCACACTTGGCTCCACTCCATGCTGTCCACCTTCTGCTGCAAGTTGCCTTCCAGCTTCACTGTCCACAAAAAGCATAACCTTTTGACCCAGGCCCAGAGAACGCATGCGCATGCAGGCTTGGACTAGCCTGTCTTTGGTGGTCTTCTTACACACAGTGACTGCTCCAACTGCAGCTGGGGCAAAGCGTAGATCCGTTCCACGCGTGTGCTTGTCATCCAAATATGTGAAGCACTCATGGGCAGGTTGAAGCGGGCTCTTTGCCAAAGGAGTGTCTTTTCCATCACTGTCCAGTACCATGATCTGGTTCTCATCATCGAAATAAATAGCTGCCCGAAATCTATGAGGACTCAGCTTCAGCACAGCCTCTGCAACTTGCCGATTCGACATCCCAGTGAGCAAAGCACCGCAGTCAATCAGCACAGACACATGGACTTCAGATTGAGCGATGAGAATCTCCTCCAAAATCTGCAAGGGTTCCTTGTGCTCAATCATTTTCACAGGGGACGGTCCGCCCATCTCAGGATCACAAAGCCTTCGCAAAGCCTGGCCATCAGTGTGCTTCAACATGTCGTCCTCATACTGCTGCACCCCCAAAGGCAAAAGCTGCCGATTGTCCGCTGTGCCTGAAAATCCTCTCAAACGCCCAGCGGCCAAATCCCATGCACTTGATGATACCTGTCATGGGAGCCCGAGTGCTTAAAAAGCAGAGTTCAACTAGTTGTGACTGCTAGTCTTACAGAAGCACAAACATGATCTTTTTTCAACGTGGGCCCTTCATGCAGCAATGGGCCTTGAACGGAAATTGTCGAGTTTCCTTGGGAAAGACAAACTCCTCCAGGAAAGTCTCGACAACCTGCAAATTCTTGCCCAGCTTTGGCCAAAGCAAATCAATCATCTCATCATCAAAGGTCAAGCCCTCTGCAGCCCTTGGGATTTTCAGCCTTTTGGCGACGGCTTTGTGAACAGCCCCAGTCTGCAAGTCATCTTCAATGGCTGCAGCCCATAACCAAAGCCTGTAGTGACGCGTTTGTTCCTTGAGAGTCAAGTCCTTCAACCATTGCAGGACGCGGCGAAATGACTGACGAGTCAAACCATCTTCTGCATAGGCGCGCAGGGTCAAAGTGATGGCCAAATCAGGGTGACCAAACTCAGTCCTGTCGTTCGAGGATTGTAATAGATATAATATATATGTCGCAATATATATATATATATTTATACTCGGGGATTGTATTGTCTTATAAATGTGTGAACACACAACAAAGAATAACATGCATTCTCTTAGGATGCTACTAGGGGCTCCTGGCCTTGCTACTAGGAGCAAGGACGCTACTAGGGGCTCCTGGCATCGCTACTGGGAGCAAGAACGCTACTAGGAATTCTTGAGATATATATTTTTCAGACCTAAATTCCGTTTTTTTCACTCGGTCCTCTCGCTTGGAGCATCTTTGAAGCGGAAAGGTATGGCCATTTCACAGCGCCAAGTCACGTTGTCCACTCCAAACTCAACCCTGTGTCTCTTGTGCAGCGCAGAACGCAAGATATCACCCGCAAAGAGGCCTCTGGCAGTGAGAGCAGCTTGTGGCAAAGATGGATTGCTGTCATCCTCCTGAACAAGCTCCAAGATTTCCTTCAACTTCTCATCAGACAAATTCGGATTGAGAATGAACTCGCGCAGTCGATCACCTCAAACTCATGTTGAAGAAATGGCTGAAAACAACCAGAAAGGCTGACAAATGAGAGCATGATAGGGCCCTGATAGGGCCAATCTCTCATCTACAACTCTCAGGGATTTACAACCCTCCTGCCCCCATGTACAGTCGTTCCTTGTACCTCACTGACGAAAATCAGCTGCCGAGCTGCGAGTCTTCAAAGGAAGATTCCGGAGGCCACCCAACTTCTCATGCTTTTCAGTGGTGGACAACAAACCTTCGCAAAGAGATTGCGACAGGTCTGCCCAATCCTCTCCATTTCCTCAGTTAGTTCTAAAGGCTCAGGATTGTTTCGAAATAAGATCGACCTGGTAGCCCCAGACACTAAAGGTGTCGCTTTCAAGCCCCCTCTGTCTCGGTGCTGTTCATCACAGCGCGGGAACGGTCTCCGACGTGGCACCGTTGGGAAAGACGTAGAAGACAAAGGGCCCGAGCAAGAGTCAAGAGATTTCAAGGGAAAAGCGGGCTCAGAAACTGGAAACCGCAAGAAACCTTCTGGAATCCCATACAAAACCTGCCTACAATACTCCGGCCCTTGATCGGCTTTCACGCACTATGTCCTGGAAAAGAGCGCAGAAGCAATGGCAATGCCAATGGGAAGAGTGGCGGAAATCACCACCAGCCAAGGAGAAGCAAGCAAAGAAAGGGTCTGGCAAAGGTCAGCCAATCGTGTATGGATGAGACGGAAAACCCATTCAGCTAGATGGAGACTCGAGGGGTAGAAAATGGTCATCCTCATATGGATCGCACTGGCAAACGAAGTCGTCGCTCAAGCAAGAGAACCAAAGGCTGAAAGCTGCCATGCGACAGGTGATGGAGACAGAAAGGCCGTTGGAGCAAGATCTCAATGCAGTGAGAACTCTCATCCACTGCGCAAGAGACAAAAAAAATTGAACGAAGAAAGGAAAAGCCTGAACAAAGCAAGAAGAGCTGGAAACAGCGGAGGCATACTATGCCAGTTGAAAAGAGAACATTACACAGGGACTGGCACAAGAAGAGAAGAGATACACATCTCAGCTGGAACGGTTGAACCAGGTACTGAAGGAAGCCGACAATGGTGGCGAAGAAGAGTCTATGGCAGACGAAGGGGAAGAAATGGCTCCTGGAGTTGCCTATGTGCACCAAGAATCCAAGAACTCATGGATGTGAAAACACAACTCGACCAGATGATGAAGTATGCCAGTGCAATGGAGCAGAGGAACGTTCAGCTGACCGATCAAGTGACCAAGCTGGTGGCGGCAATGAGCTCCAGGGAGCCCTTGGAGAGAGCGAAGCCTATGCCAAGGCGAAGCACCACTACCATGGAAGATGCAAAAAGGGCAGCAAAGCGATCATCGCCAAACTGGAGAGTGGTGTGGACGACGACCACACTTGGCTCAAATCCGACAAGGTCTCGGAGCGCTGCGAAGCTCTCAATGCGGCAAATCCGGAGTCCTATTTGACCCAAGTTTGCCGCTCATCCAGAAGGCGAAGGACGCAAACGAGAAGGCAATGCAGAAGGCTGCAGCCAAGATGAATCCGGGAGCCAGGGTCAAGATGGAAGACAAGAATTAAAAGAATGGTCTCCTACAACCTTTCAAACCAAAGAAGGTATCGGCAGAAAGGAGTGGGCCCTATACGCCACCCCTGCCAAAGTCCCAGTGGGCCACGAAAACGAAATGCCTCGATCGCCAGGGCTGGACAAGATCGACGATCGTTAGAGGCGTGTAACAGATTAGTTCCCTCTAGACCCTCTAGAGGTTGTTGCGCCAACTTTGGCAGCAGCAACCTGGACAATTTTGAGTGTGATGCTGCAAATCTAGAAGCTCCAGCTGTGCGAGTTGTTGCTACTGGAGCAAGCTGTTTGCGGTTTGGGATCCAGGAAGAGTTCTTCTACTCTTGTAAAGGTGAGTCTTGACTGTGAACAGTCAATCAGGGACGATCTCGTCTATGATGACGGGGAAGATTTTGGAGGTGAGTCAGTGTTTAGCCGAAGCTGTGTATATGAGGTATGCCAGGACAGCTCTGCTGATGAAGGTTTGAGTTGGACTTTGACAGGCTGTTTGCGCTTTCTTGGTTCCTTGAAGGCAAACATCTGGATGCGGTGTATACTTGCGTGCCAGTTTCTTCCGAGTGTGATTGCTTCTGTTTTTCTTGGTTTCCAGATTAGTGTGGCTTTTGCTGCAACATGCCTCTTTTGTGCAGCACAAAGGATCACTGGTGTGTATGGGAGATCTGCACACACCTTCCATTGTCAGCAGGTTTGTCGACTACCCTGTGCCGTGTCGCTCAATGAAATCTCCCAGCTACTCCTTGTGCCAGGGATCTTTTTGCTTGTTTGTCTTGCATGCATCCCTGGAGACAGTAGGTATATGTAGGTATCCAGGCGCTTATCTGGAGTTTTAGAAGCATTGTTCTGCTCTTGTGCGGGCTGCTTCCAGTGCATTCCAATGAAGCCCTTGTCATGCCGGGGTTGTGTGCTTGGCGAGGGCCAAGCCGAATGAGAAAGGGACCCATCAGTTCGCTGGAAAGGTCTTTTCTCTTTTACAATCTTGGTTTTGCCCAGACGATTCCGTTTTTGCAAGCCGATATTTCTGACCATGTCCTGAGTAGCGTGTCAGCTGCCAACCAGAGCAGTGGCATTGACAATGAAGGACCCTGCTTCTCCTTGCCAAGTGGAAGTGGGGAACCACATGAAGATGTAAATGGCATTGAACCCATCATCAAAGAAGGCACTTGCCTTGATCGTTGC